AAGACCCCCACCCATTAGAAAAGACCACCACCCATTAGAAAAGACCACCACCCATTAAAAAAGACCACCACCCATTAAAAAAGACCACCACCCATTAAAAAAGACCCCCACCCATTAGAAAAGACCCCCACCCATTAGAAAAGACCACCACCCATTAAAAAAGACCACCACCCATTAAAAAAGACCCCCACCCATTAAAAAAGACCACCACCCATTAAAAAAGACCACCACCCATTAAAAAAGACCACCACCCATTAAAAAGCCCGTCACCCCTTCAAAAAGACCCCCACCCATTAGAAAAGACCACCACCCATTAAAAAAGACCACCACCCATTAAAAAAGACCCCCACCCATTGAAAAAGACCACCACCCATTGAAAAAGACCACCACCCATTAAAAAAGACCCCCACCCATTAAAAAAGACCACCACCCATTAAAAAAGACCCCCACCCATTAAAAAAGACCACCACCCATTAAAAAAGACCCCCACCCATTAAAAAAGACCCCCACCCATTAGAAAAGACCACCACCCATTAAAAAAGACCACCACCCATTAAAAAAGACCCCCACCCATTAAAAAAGACCACCACCCATTAAAAAAGACCCCCACCCATTAGAAAAGACCACCACCCATTAAAAAAGACCACCACCCATTAAAAAAGCCCGTCACCCCTTCAAAAAGAACGCCACACAATGAAACAATACAAATTTTCAAGTTCTACATTAAATGTTTCTCAGTGAATCGTCTTACTGCAAAAAGACGCTCCTGATAAAGACGGAGCAGGCGTCTGAGGTAACTGAACAAGTGGAAGGAGTGCCTAGTGTTGCCCCTCCCCCCTCCCCCCCCCCCTGCGGAACAATACACCATTGTTTCCCTCCTCACCTACACTCTCCTACCTTAAGACACCCGCCATCAACAACTGCTTCAACAAGAACAGCTATAACTCCCTCACAACCTTGCAGTTATAACCACTCATATGGATGGGCGACACAAGCCAAGGAATGCCCCGAGGGGCGAGTTTATTGGGCAGCGTCACTCATCCTGTGAGTGGACACACCGCCATAGTGACAGTATTGGGCAGCGCCACTCATCCTGTGAGTAGACACACCGCCATAGTGACAGTATTGGGCAGCGCCACTCATCCTGTGAGTGGACACACCGCCATAGTGACAGTATTGGGCAGCGCCACTCATCCTGTGAGTGGACACACCGCCATAGTGACAGTATTGGGCAGCGTCACTCATCTTGTGAGTGGACACACCGCCATAGTGACAGTATTGGGCAGCGTCACTCATCCTGTGAGTGGACACACCGCCATAGTGACAGTATTGGGCAGCGCCACTCATCTTGTGAGTGGACATACCGCCATAGTGACAGTATTGGGCAGCGCCACTCATCTTGTGAGTGGACATACCGCCATAGTGACAGTATTGGGCAGCGCCACTCATCTTGTGAGTGGACACACCGCCATAGTGACAGTATTGGGCAGCGTCACTCATCCTGTGAGTGGACACACCGCCATAGTGACAGTATTGGGCAGCGCCACTCATCCTGTGAGTGGACACACCGCCATAGTGACAGTATTGGGCAGCGCCACTCATCCTGTGAGTGGACACACCGCCATAGTGACAGTATTGGGCAGCGCCACTCATCCTGTGAGTGGACACACCGCCATAGTGACAGTATTGGGCAGCGTCACTCATCCTGTGAGTGGACACACCGCCATAGTGACAGTATTGGGCAGCGCCACTCATCCGGTGAGTGGACACACCGCCATAGTGACAGTATTGGGCAGCGCCACTCATCCTGTGAGTGGACACACCGCCATAGTGACAGTAATGGGCAGCGCCACATATCCTGTGAGTGGACACACCGCCATAGTGACAGTATTGGGCAGCGCCACTCATCCTGTGAGTGAACACACCGCCATAGTGACAGTATTGGGCAGCGTCACTCATCCTGTGAGAGGACACACCGCCATAGTGACAGTATTGGGTAGCACCACTCATCTTGTGAGTGGACACACCGCCATAGTGACAGTATTGGGCAGCGTCACTCATCCTGTGAGTGGACACACCGCCATAGTGACAGCATTGGGCAGCGCCACTCATCTTGTGAGTGGACACACCGCCATAGTGACAGTATTGGGCAGCCCCACTCATCCTGTGAGTGGACACACCCCCATAGTGACAGTATTGGGCAGCGTCACTCATCCTGTGAGTGGACACACCGCCATAGTGACAGTATTGGGCAGCGCCACTCATCCTGTGAGTGGACACACCACCATAGTGACAGTATTGGGCAGCGTCACTCATCCTGTGAGTGGACACACCGCCATAGTGACAGTATTGGGCAGCGCCACTCATCCTGTGAGTGGACACACCGCCATAGTGACAGTATTGGGCAGCGCCACTCATCCTGTGAGTGGACACACCGCCATAGTGACAGTATTGGGCAGCGTCACTCATCCTGTGAGTGGACACACCGCCATAGTGACAGTATTGGGCACCGCCACTCATCCTGTGAGTGGACACACCGCCATAGTGACAGTATTGGGCAGCGCCACTCATCCTGTGAGTGGACACACCGCCATAGTGACAGTATTGGGCAGCGTCACTCATCCTGTGAGTGGACACACCGCCATAGTGACGGTATTGGGCACCGTCACTCATCCTGTGAGTGGACACACCGCCATAGTGACAGTATTGGGCAGCGCCACTCATCCTGTGAGTGGACATACCGCCATAGTGACAGTATTGGGCAGCGCCACTCATCCTGTGAGTGGACACACCGCCATAGTGACAGTATTGGGCAGCGTCACTCATCCTGTGAGTGGACACACCGCCATAGTGACAGTATTGGGCACCGCCACTCATCCTGTGAGTGGACACACCGCCATAGTGACAGTATTGGGCAGCGCCACTCATCCTGTGAGTGGACACACCGCCATAGTGACAGTATTGGGCAGCGTCACTCATCCTGTGAGTGGACACACCGCCATAGTGACGGTATTGGGCACCGTCACTCATCCTGTGAGTGGACACACCGCCATAGTGACAGTATTGGGCAGCGCCACTCATCCTGTGAGTGGACATACCGCCATAGTGACAGTATTGGGCAGCGCCACTCATCTTGTGAGTGGACACACCGCCATAGTGACAGTATTGGGCAGCGCCACTCATCCTGTGAGTGGACACACCGCCATAGTGACAGTATTGGGCAGCGCCACTTATCTTGTGAGTGGACATACCGCCATAGTGACAGTATTGGGCAGCGCCACTTATCTTGTGAATGGACACACCGCCATAGTGACAGTATTGGGCAGCGTCACTCATCCTGTGAGTGGACACACCGCCATAGTGACAGTATTGGGCAGCGCCACTCATCCTGTGAATGGACACACCGCCATAGTGACAGTACTGGGCAGCGCCACTCATCCTGTGAGTGGACACACCGCCATAGTGACAGTATTGGGCAGCGCCACTCATCTTGTGAGTGGACATACCGCCATAGTGACAGTATTGGGCAGAGCCACTCATCCTGTGAGTGGACACACCGCCATAGTGACAGTATTGGGCAGCGCCACTCATCCTGTGAGTGGACACACCGCCATAGTGACAGTATTGGGCAGCGTCACTCATCCTGTGAGTGGACATACCGCCATAGTGACAGTATTGGGCAGCGCCACTCATCCTGTGAGTGGACACACCGCCATAGTGACAGTATTGGGCAGCGTCACTCATCCTGTGAGTGGACACACCGCCATAGTGACAGTATTGGGCAGCGTCACTCATCCTGTGAGTGGACACACCGCCATAGTGACAGTATTGGGCAGCGCCACTCATCCTGTGAGTGGACACACCGCCATAGTGACAGTATTGGGCAGCGTCACTCATCCTGTGAGTGGACACACCGCCATAGTGACAGTATTGGGCAGCGTCACTCATCCTGTGAGTGGACACACCGCCATAGTGACAGTATTGGGCAGCGCCACTCATCCTGTGAGTGGACACACCGCCATAGTGACAGTATTGGGCAGCGTCACTCATCCTGTGAGTGGACACACCGCCATAGTGACAGTATTGGGCAGCGCCACTCATCCTGTGAGTGGACACACCGCCATAGTGACAGTATTGGGCCGCGTCACTCATCCTGTGAGTGGACACACCGCCATAGTGACAGTATTGGGCAGCGTCACTCATCCTGTGAGTGGCCACACCGCCATAGTGACAGTATTGGGCAGCGTCACTCATCCTGTGAGTGGCCACACCGCCATAGTGACAGTATTGGGCAGCGCCACTCATCTTGTGAGTTGACACACCGCCATAGTGACAGTATTGGCCAGCGTCACTCATCCTGTGAGTGGACACACCGCCATAGTGACAGTATTGGGCAGCGCCACTCATCCTGTGAGTGGACACACCGCCATAGTGACAGTATTGGGCAGCGTCACTCATCCTGTGAGTGGCCACACCGCCATAGCAGCATGTACAACACTCCCCAAAATTTGTGTATCTTCTTGAGGTTATCTTTAGATGATTTCGGGGCTTAGCGTCCCCGCGGCCCGGTCCTCGACTAGGCCTCCTTTTTTTATTACACACCTCGGGAAGCAGCCCGTAGCAGCTGTCTATCAGGTACCTATTTACTGCTAGGTTAACAGGCGCATCAGGGTGAATGAAACTCTGCCTATTTGTTTCCTCCTCCACTGGGGATCGAACCCGGAACTTCAGGACTACGAATCCGAAGCGCTGTCCTCTCAGCTGTCATGCCCCTCAGCCATGACAGACATCCCCTCTTTTGAACAACAGAGAAAAAGGGTCAGATAAATTGAACCAGTATTGCAATCCTCCATCAGAGTAAAGCAACACCCCCCCCCCTCCCGTCCCATCCTAAATCCTTATCCTGACCCCTTCCAAGTATAGTCGTAGCGGCATGGTGCTTTCCTCTGATAGTTCCCCTGGAACAGTGCACATGGAACAGTGCACATGGAACAGTGCACATGGAACAGTGCACATGGAACAGTGCACATGGAACAGTGCACATGGAACAGTGCACATGGAACAGTGCACATGGAACAGTGCACATGGAAAACAATGAACGCCTCAGAGAGGAGACATGGAGGACAGAGTTAGTAAATGCAGTCAAGAGGAACTTTCTGACTCCTATGTTCAGAGAAGGCACAAGAAAATGATCAGAACACACTGTTGACAGACACTTGATCTTCACACACCCACACTCTGGCAGGCATACCACATATGGAATACATATAATGCCTCTGACAATGCCCCTGGGTGGTTGTTGTTAAAGATTCGCTACTTGGAACAAGCAGTTCCAAGTAGCACGGGCTATGGTGAGCCCGTAGGTACTTGCCCCTGGGAATGAATGACTACCCTCAGAGCCCCCTAGAGTGATGCCAATAACTAGGCTACTGGAACAGGAGGAGGATAAGAAGGTGTAGGAAGGAGTCTAGCACACAAAGGGAACTGCCCAAAAGTCTAAGAACTCCCAGAGTGAACAGACTAGGGGGGGGGGGGGGTGGTTATCTTGAGATCTTGAGGTTATCTTGAGATGATTTCGGGGCTTTTAGTGTCCCCGCGGCCCGGTCCTCGACCAGGCCTCCACCCCCAGGAAGCAGCCTGTGACAGCTGACTAACACCCAGGTACCTATTTTACTGCTAGGTAACAGGGGCATAGGGTGAAAGAAACTCTGCCCATTGTTTCTCGCCGGCGCCTGGGATCGAACCCAGGACCACAGGATCACAGTCCAGCGTGCTGTCCGCTCGGCCGACCGGCTCCATCGCTCGGCCGACCGGGTGAAAGAGTTCTAAGGTACCACAAGAAATAATGGATTACAAAACATGAAATTTGTAATACAATTGCGAAGTTCCTTATTAATGACTTCGAAGATGAAAGATTAAATTCTTTTATGAATACTTAGCATAAAAAAATTAAGACTAAGACGAATTTGAAAATATATAGTGAAGAGAAGACGACCAAAACAACAGAGATAAGGATGGAGAATACAGAGATAATGATGGAGAATACAGAGATAATGATGGAGAATACAGAGGTAATGATGGAGAATACAGAGATAATGATGGAGAATACAGAGGTAATGATGGAGAATACAGAGGTAATGATGGAGAATACAGAGATAATGATGGAGAATACAGAGATAATGATGGAGAATACAGAGATAATGATGGAGAATACAGAGATAATGATGGAGAATACAGAGATAATGATGGAGAATACAGAGATAATGATGGAGAATACAGAGATAATGATGGAGAATACAGAGATAATGATGGAGAATACAGAGGTAATGATGGAGAATACAGAGATAATGATGGAGAATACAGAGGTAATGATGGAGAATACAGAGGTAATGATGGAGAATACAGAGATAATGATGGAGAATACAGAGATAATGATGGAGAATACAGAGATAATGATGGAGAATACAGAGATAATGATGGAGAATACAGAGATAATGATGGAGAATACAGAGATAATGATGGAGAATACAGAGATAATGATGGAGAATACAGAGATAATGATGGAGAATACAGAGATAATGATGGAGAATACAGAGATAATGATGGAGAATACAGAGATAATGATGGAGAATACAGAGGTAATGATGGAGAATACAGAGATAATGATGGAGAAAACAGAGATAATGATGGAGAATACAGAGATAATGATGGAGAATACAGAGATAAGGATGGAGAATACAGAGATAATGATGGAGAATACAGAGATAATGGAGAATACAGAGATAATGATGGAGAATACAGAGATAATGATGGAGAATACAGAGACAATGATGGAGAATACAGAGATAATGATGGAGAATACAGAGGTAATGATGGAGAATACAGAGGTAATGATGGAGAATACAGAGATAATGATGGAGAATACAGAGATAATGATGGAGAATACAGAGATAATGATGGAGAATACAGAGATAATGATGGAGAATACAGAGATAATGATGGAGAATACAGAGATAATGATGGAGAATACAGAGATAATGATGGAGAATACAGAGATAAGGATGGAGAATACAGAGATAAGGATGGAGAATACAGAGATAAGGATGGAGAATACAGAGATAATGATGGAGAATACAGAGATAAGGATGGAGAATACAGAGATAATGATGGAGAATACAGAGATAAGGATGGAGAATACAGAGATAATGATGGAGAATACAGAGATAATGATGGAGAATACAGAGATAATGAGACAAGAGAGAGCAGCAGGCAGCCACGGACAGCAAACCGTGAACTCCTCGTGGAAATATTTGGACAATAAGAGCCACTCCCAGTTGTGTGTATGTATATGTGTATAAAGTATATATGGAAGCTGATCAGAATTACATTTCACCTTTGTAAATGCACATTAATGGCACTATGTAAAAGACACATCTAACACTTTATGTAGCGCATACGTAAATCTGTGTATCTATGTATTTACGTATGTAGGTTAGCTTAGCATTTTAAAAGCACCGAATCACCTTCTGTGGTTGAGTGTTCAATAAACCCTTGAACTATATGTTTAACACATCTCTAACCCTGTCCATGGAGGACAGAAGAAAATGTATATATGCTGGTTAGCATTGTAAATGTGTGGCCACGTCTGTGGTAGAAAATAATATTAATAAAAAAACCTTCCAGTTGGATCTGGAGGAATAGAATTGACTCAGCTGAGCCAAGAGGCGATGAGGTAACTGGAGGAGCTGGCAAGGGGGTCGAAGACTGAGACCAGAAGGCATCACAGAGGCAGCAGGGGTCCTCAACCATCCCTTCCCTATACTCTTCAACTCATGGCTACAGACAAATGAACGAGCTGCCTGGAAGGCTGCCAATGTGATCCATGTTTAAACATACATTAGAGCGCCTACCTTGCGAGGTGCTGTTAAGACTCAGTACTCGAGAAGTCAGATGAACTAACTAGAAGTGTGCTGGGGTGAGGGAGAGGGTACCTCCCTGCTGGGAAACAGAGATAGAGAGGGAGGGAGGGAAGGAGAGAGAGAGGGAAGGGACAGCGGCCGAGAGAAAGGTGGAGGAGACTTCATGAGGACCATGTAGGCGCCTCCATTAACGTCAGAGGCGTCCTTGACGGGCAGTGATGGCGTGTCTGCCCCTCACTATGCACACACCCTTAACCTGGAGTAATGCAGCCACAGGCGCGCTGACCTGAGGGGCGTGCTGACGTCCCGGGCACGCTGACGTCAGGAGGACCCTGCCACCACTGGTGCTGGCAGTGGTGGCAGGGTCCTCCACCACCAGTGGTGGCAGGGGTATGATCATATGATAGGGATATGATCCCTATCATATCTGCTTTTAAAGTTGTGGATTGAGTAAGCCTCTACAACCTGCTTCGATGGTCCTCCATTGACCCAGAGGGAAGAAGTAAGACCTGGCGGACAGCTAGAAGCCAGAGTCAGGCAACACCTCACCCTTCACTGCTCCCTACTATTAAGCAGGTTGGGTGAATCGTAGAGTGGGGTGTTCCCACGCTTACAAATGTCTGGAGTTCTCCTTGTTAGCTGAATCTAAGAGTCCCTGAATGTTGCAGTAACCAGCCTGAAGTCATCAGCACTGCCACTCTTCTGGTCAAAAAAGGTGTCCAGCAGCTGGAGACCCTCATAAAGACTGTCAAGCAGTATCCTTCCCCGCGATAACAGCTTCACGAATAATTGCTACCTCAGCATACTGGATACATTTACTGAACAAAAAATTTACCACTTACGGGCTATTCATGCCCGTGCCACCTCTTGGGTGGCTTAATCTTCATCAATCAATCTTGTAAGCTCAGTATAGCTGAGAAATTTTGTTATTTAGTAAACTTGGAAATTAGTGTGATCTGCCAGTCTGCAAAAGGAGATGGGGTCGTGAGGCTTGAGCACAACCATCCTATGTCCTGCCTGGACCCCAGACTATTTACCCTGCAAAGTTTCGTTTCTTCAAAGAATATTTAGCATTACTTCAATAGCTATATGGTCGTCGACGATAGCTAAAGTGACCAATATTAGTTGTAACTAAAATGGGTCGGGCAATCTCCCAGTGTGTATGTATACTCGCCTATATGCGCCAGTAGGATCGAGCTCTGGCTCTGGGACCCCGCTTTTCTAGCCGCTGGTTGTCTAATTCAACGATTCCTGGCCTATTTCCAGGAATCGGATACAGGATAACCTGGACAGACCTAAGGAATGGTTCAACATATGGCTGCTAGAGTTTAACCCGAGCAAGTGCAAAGTGATGACGATAGGCGTAGGGAGCTGAAGGCCAAACACAAGGTACCAGCTGGGAGAGAATATCCTCCAGGAGTCAGGATGAAAGAGAGATCTGGGGGTTGATATCACACCAGACCTGTCCCCTGATGCCCACATCAAAATGATAACAACAGCACAGTATGCAAGGCTGGCGAACATAAGAACTGCCTTCAGAAACTTGTGTAAGGAATCATTCAGAACCTTTTAAACCACATATGTCAGACCAATAATGGAGTATGCGGCTCCCGCCTGGAGTCCATATCTAGTCAAACACAAAAAGAAGTTAGAAAAGGTTCAGATGTATGCCCCAGACTAGTCCTCGAGCTGAGAGGTATGAACTACGAGGAAAGATTACTGGAACTAAACCTCACGACACTGCAAGCCAGAAGGGTTAGGGGAGACATGATCACTACCTATAAAATTCTCAAAGGAATTGACAGAGTAGATAAAGATAAACTATTTAGCACGGGTGGTACGCGAACAAGGGCAGACAGGTAGAAACTGAATACCCAAATGACCCACAGAGACGTTAGAAAGAACTTTGTTAGTGTCAGAGTAGTTAACAGTTGGAATACATTAGGCAGTGATGTGGTGGAGGCTGACTCCATACACAGTTTCAAATGTAGATATGATAGAGCCCAGTAGGCTCAGGAATCTGTACACCAGTTGGTTGACAGTTGAGAGGCGGGACCAAAGAGCCAGAGCTCAACCCCCGCAAGCACAACACGGTGAGAGTACACAGACACAAAGTACACCAGCCGGGACTATTAAAAGCCAGGTCTCCCTCCTCTAAAACTCAACCATATTAGCTAACACACGTCATAAAAAAAATGCTGAAATACCAACAAAAAGTGAATCGCCATAATTGCAGAATTATACCCCAGAAAAACTGATGACCTCCAGAGCAACAATTCGACCTGACCTCCTCTCCCCCCCCTCACAAATCACTAACATTACACCAACCACTTGGGCTGGACGGTAGAGCGACGGTCTCGCTTCGTGCAGATCGGCGTTCAATCCCCGACCGTCCACCAAGTGGTTGGGGCACCATTCCTTTCCCCCGTCCCATCCCAAATCCTTATCCTGACCCTTCCCAGTGCTATATAGTCGTAATGGCTTGGCGCTTTCCCTTGATAATTCCTTCCTTCCTACACTGAACTGATTTTCAACAGTTTCCCCGAAGCCTGACTGGCGCCTCCACCAATACCCAACAAAACCAGTATTGTATTTTGCGTCGTAAACCTGACAACGTTGCCAGAACCCTCTGGCTTACACTGTGCGCGCTCCAGGGGCCACGATATCTAAGACTAACGCTGAAGCGACGCTGAATTAACGCGTTGAATGAACGCTGCTCTCGGATAATATGACCAGTGGATTGGCGTGCCACGGCATTTGATAACGGTATGGCCAGTGTGGTAATTTAATATGATTGATGGTCTCTGTGCTGTGGGAGTTGAGACGTCCATGGATATAATATATATATTATTATATATATTATATATATATATATATATATCCAGGGCAGGTGTCCAACCCGACCACAGGCTATAGTGGTAGACTTAGCGGCTCAAAGACACCTGCAAGATATACACAGACAGGTGTGTATATCTTGTGGTGCAAGACAGACAGACACTTGCAAGACAGACAGACGATGAGTCACAAAAACGTGGATGAAGAGTTGATATCCAACCCCATCAAGCAGGTAACCCACTCATCAGAAGATGAAAGGGTCGACGACGGTTCGGTCCATCCCGGACCATTGTCAGGTCTTACACGATTTTGCTAATGGTCCAAGACGGAGTGAAACGACGTAGTTTGATCATCTTGAGATACGTGGGCTGGTCACCAACAGCCACAGACCTGACTGAGGGATGACCAGTCAGGTCTGTGGCTGGTTCTGGAGGCCGGCAGTTGTCAATCAAGCGAGAATAAGGTCATGGCTGCAATGTTATTGAATGGTTTTTCCTCTTTTCAGTATATTTTCTACCACAGACGTGACCATACATGTATACAATGCTACCCCGTAGGCATACATATCCTTCTGTCCTTCATGGACAGGGTATATACATATGGACATAATATGACATAATGATAGTGACATAATGCGGGCTTCTGATATGTTGTCTTACATTCAGTACAGTCGGTTATTGCCTAGTCTGCCAAAGAATGGGGTTATTGTGGGTTTAAAATGCATGGTACAATGATGGTGGTGGTTGTGGTGGTGGTGATGGTGGTGGTGGTGGTGATTGTGGTGGTGGTGGTTGTGGTGGTGGTGGTTGTGGTGGTGGTGGTTGTGGTGGTGGTGGTAAAGGTGGTGGTGATTGTGGTGATGGTGATTGTGGTGTTGTTAGTGGAGGTGGTAGTGTTGGTTGGAGTTGGTGGTGGTGGTGGTGGTGATTGTGGTGGTGGTGGTGGTGGTGGTGGTAGTAGTGGTGGTAGTGGTAGTGATGATGATGGAGGTGGTGGTGGTGATTGTGGTGGTGGTGGTGAACACACCCAGGGAGTGACCAGCGAGTAATGACCATACCATCTTTCTCCCTCGTTCCCCCCCCCCCACCCCTCTTCCCCACCCTAGATCAAGGCCCCCCCCCTCCCTCTCCCACCCTATGTGATGGCCCCCTCCTCAGAGTAGAGCAGTCATGCAGCTGCTACAGCACGGAACACAGCTGCATGGTCAACATCTCAGGGCAGAGCAGTGAGCCACAGGTGTGGCCATTCAATACTCGAGTTATACCAGTACAGAAAGAACCAATCAAAGTATCCACTCACAACCAGATCTGGAGCCCCAGTAATCCCCCAGTTGAAAGGTGAATGATTGACGTTGGGTGATGCAAGCTCTGGCAGCCTTCAACCTTGAGATACATCACGGGAGGTCTACTGCCAATGGAATTTGCAGTCACGATTATTTGGACTTTAAATGGGTTTGTTTTACTGGCCCTTACAACCGATGCTGCCAAGTGGCACATTGTAACGAGGTGGGTGCCAACGTAACGAGGTAGGTGCCAACATAGACAGGTGTCAACATTAGGAGACAGGT